TGAAGAAAATGATGATGTAGAAGAGTCAAGCTTTGTGGTTCTTACAGGTATAGATGAAGTTGAGGTTGTGGATGGAGATGAAGAGGTTGGGATAACTCCAAGAGTGGAAGATGGAACAACTGTGGTTACGTATACGAATGTAGTTTGCACAGAATCACTTGATGTCGCCTGAGACGAATCTCCCGTTATTGAGATTTGAGGAGTAATACTCTGCTCAGATGCTCCTGTGGGAGAAATTGACGCCTGAGTCACCGTCGTCCTAGACTGTGCAATAGTGCTCTGCGGTTGAGCTGTAACCTTTGAAGTCTCCTTCGTCGACAAGACACTCTCCACTAAACTTGAGGCTCCAGTAGTGCTTGATAGAACCGTAATAGGTGATAGCGTTTCCCTTATAGAAGTCTGGGGAGTGATCCCAGATGCTTCCGTTGTGATACCAACCGTGGATTCAGAATTTGGACCCAAATTACTGGAACTTTGCGGAATTCCTGTGGCTGCCGTGGTTGAGTCTTCAGTACCAAATGGTGCGACTGATATACTCGACACTGATGTCGGTACTGATGTTAAAGTTGCTGAGGAAGACCCCTTGGAAGTTTCACCCGAAGAGCTTTCTGGAGTTGCAGTAGCCTTTGAAGAGGTAGTTGGAAGCAGTGGGAATGTCGTAGTCTGAACAGAATTCAGACTCGATAGTGTCGAACTATCTAATAACGTTGAAGAAGTTTTCGTCGTAAGACTGCTCTCAGGTAAAGTGGTAGGTAGAGGCGCAAAAGTCGTAGTCTGCAAAGAAACTTGGTTTGAAGAGGAAGAACTAGCTTGTGATTCAGATGCACCCTGACTTGATGTTTCACTCTTCGTAGAAGGTTTTCCGGTGGGCGCTGTATTTAGCGGTGGAGTAATAGTAAGTGTTAATTCCGTTGCGGTTAGAATTCCGCTTCCATCTCTGGTTTCAGTATTTGAAGCTTGGCTTGATCGTGCCGGGGCTGTGCCTCCTGTACTCGATATAATTGAAGATAACAGCTGCGAAGAAGATGTAGCGGAGCTTAACGATGTCTTGGATTCGTTATCCTCGTCCGATGAAGTACTAGCAGTACCTGTTGCGCTTTTCGATCTCGTCGTCTTCGATCCCTCTGTTGATTGTACCACGGACGTCGGTGAAGTACTGCTCGACTGTGAAGAAAGCGCCGTTACACTCGTACTGGATGTGGTGGTTCCTTCTATTGACAATGTGGATTCGGGTTGAGCTGTAGAACTGATTATCGAAGAAGTGACCGTCCCAGGTAAGATAGTGATCGCGATGGGAGTAACGCTATCTCTTTTGCGTTCACCTCCTCGTATATAACTAGTGTCAAATCAGAATTATCCATCCCGGAACCACTTACACAAAGTGACCTGGGTAGAAAAGAAGTGTACTTACTTCCTACTTGTTCCATTGCGCCACAACGGACCAGCCGCACCAAGATGAGAAAGAAAAATTGTACCAAAAAGAAAGAGTGGAGGCGAGACCTTCATGATTGTAGAGATGATATTTTTTCAAGAATTATTCCGTGGGAAGTGTTTTCAGGATAAAAGAAAGGCTAGATGTGTACTAGATATATGTGCTGTGAAAGATTGCAATTTTTGGTATCAAAAATTAATGATTAACAATTTAGCAAAGAAAGTTGTGAATAAAAAATGAAAAGAAGGAAATAATCAACGACAGACAAGACACGACACAATGAATGGAACTGAGAATAGGAAAACGAATGATGAGTAGAATATGGAAATTGAAATCATGTTACCAAAAGTCTCGACTCATTCTATATACTCGAAAACTCAATTAACATGACCGAGAACGCGACCCAAACCCACTGAGTGCATTGCATTACAAACTTGTCGCTTTTCCAGAACTCCACCAGATCGACAGGTAAATAGACAACTAGCCAGTTTGCTGTACGATTCACAACAATTCATTGTAGTTTCCATCCAAGTTTCTCATCCAATAAATGCAAAATACACAACATAAAGCTCAAACATGACGTTGGCGCTTAGTAAAATTATCTCGTCTGAAAGAGTCGGGTTGTGAATCATTTGATTGGCTAGGATTAATTTCAGGGGATGTGTTTAGCGAACCCGAAAATGAGTGGATGAAACGACAAGCGCGAATGAAAAGCTTGACTCACATGAAAAATGTAACGTGAACCAGTCGGATTAAAAATTAATCGATGTGTTCAGTGGCTTGCCGATGAGAACATCGAATAGTTAGAGATTGAGGCTCAATGCTCATGTTGTGGTAGGTTACCCAAATGATGGCCATGGAACGGCTGCGCGCCTCGATCTATCGGGATCTGCGAAGATCCAATAATCTGATTTTTTGCATGAGAATAATTCTAGAGAAAAGTCTAGATGCAGATTTTGGTTAAATTAAAAAGTCGCTGAATCTAGATCTCCCAAAATAGCAAATCTTGTACGTGCATTGCCGATTTTCATTACCTCACCCCGAATCTGCCGACTTTGCTCATCCAGTCAAAGCTTGAAATACCCCGGCTGCAGCCTTTTAAAGACTCCCTCGGGATCATATCTCCTTTGTATATCCCTGAGTTTCTTCTCATTAACCTCTCCATAGCCACCAAAAACGTCTTGTTCTTCACTCGCATAATTCATATAAATGAACTGATTGTCAAGTCCCCATTCTTTTGCCAAACTGCCAAAATCATAGAGTCAGTAATTAACGTTAGATATGTCTTTAAGAAAAACAGAATCAAGCAGAGAAAGGGAGTACTGACTCAACAATTCTTTCTACAAATCGATTCAATGCCGTGAAAACTTTCTCGTCATCTTCTTCATTTTCCCATCCCCAGTTGAGGTTCATTACTATCTTCCGTTAGCTTCTTTCATATTCAGCTTTTACCCATGTCCTATCTTCCTCCTTCACTGCTCTCCCGTTATCTCTCCCCATTGTTCCCTTTACACATCTCATCTCTTCCTTAACTTACTGCTAAGTGGGCCTCCTTCCGTCTCTAAGCCCAATACGTTCCCACCCCTTTTCTGCATTTGTTCAATGATATTAAGTGAAAGAGGTTGAAGTGCCATGAATGGCATAATTCCTGGAACTTCCACGACGCGGTTTGCTTCTTCCACGAAGATATCATGAATCTTTTTGAATAGAGTGGCGTTATTCTTGAAAGTAACTGTTTTCCATCTATAACCAGGGAGAATTTGATATGTCAGTACTGATCCTAAATATTGGCAACAAACAACTTCTGATTTGAAAGAAGGTCTATCATCTTGTCTTCTTAACAAATAAATGTATATATGCTTCGAATCAGGAGCGCCAATGAAAATAAAACATAGTCATTGCAGGACGCTGACGATTTCAATCTCAGATCCGCGGAGGATTGCACATATCGCTTATTTGGTAACGCGAACAACGATTAAAGGAAGGATCACATACGCTTCTCTAAAAATAAGTCAGCACAACCACTCCCAACGTCTCATGATACGACAATGACTTGCCTTAAGAAAGCCGTCTGATTAAGTTGCACCGACAACTCCGCCATACTCGCTACTCCTGTCATATCTCCCAAACTTACTACATCGTTCAACGCATGAAAAATTGTCGCATTTGCCACCGGCTTTGCATACACGGGACCACTAAACGTCACAAATCCTCCCAAAGTCGGGACATATCCGCAACCAATATATAAATGGGCATCCTCATCAGTTGGAGCGTCAACAATAAACTGCGAAAATGCATCTGAGAGTGAAGCATTGGAAGCCAAACTGTAAAATCTAGATCCTCCCCATAAAAGTCCTTGTTCAAATGCAAATGCATCGAACCTCGTGACTATCCCGAAATTCGTCCCGGATCCGCCACGAAGGGCTTGGTATAGATCTGGATGTGATGTTGGGGATGCATTGATAATACTGCCGTCGGCGAGAACAACCTCGTAATTGAGAATATTATCGCAAGCCCATCCATATTTGCCAGAGAAATAAGATATTCCACCTCCAAGCGTGAGTCCTCCCACTCCTATTCCAGCTTCCCTTCCCCCCACTACGCTTATTCCCAATGGATCTAACACCTGATAGACATCATACCATGTATTTCCAGGTCCGATACTTACTGTTCCTCTATCTGCACTCAATTGAACTGTATTTAATTTTTGCAGATTGACCAAGATACCATTTTGTATACTGGATGCTCCAGCAAACGACGCATGTCCCCCGCTTCTCACAGCGAAAGGGCAATCCGTCAAGCGAGAAATTTTGATAGTTGTAGAGATATCTTGAGGAATGGTAACGTCGAAACGACAGCTCGGTACAACTTCGGCTTGTTGAACTGACCAATATGGGAGGGGTATGTAGGCTGGAGACGAGGGGGTGGTGAGTTTGGTGGGAGAGAGGATAGAGAGAATTTTACACTAAGTTGATGAAATTATGATAAATCAATATCGCATTCATGAATTGAGTCGTGAAACAGAAAACTCACTGCCAATTGACACTTATCAACGTCTCCGTACTCCCTGCCGAGCTCTAGAATTCGGGCATATATTGCCGGATCACCGGATTCTAGGCCTAGGTTGGTCAAATTGGCTAAATTCAAAGCTGACGGTGTAATAGCTGCGCCTAGAGAAAAGATAGTGGTAATTACCACAAACAAAGTGTCATGAAAACGCATTGTCCAAAATCCTGAGAGTATGTGTGATGCTTTGCCTCAAAAGAACTGCGAGAGTAGGATACAATTACTCTTAGAATCTACAACTACAGAATCGAAAGCCTAACGCTCGTACAGCGCGTTTATATATCAGCTGTTTACATGTGAGCGATCGCATCGCGATTGAGTTTGACCCGTGACGATCCTGTCTAAACTCAGTAAACTCAAAACCTACTTAGCCGCATTGAGCCTAGAATATGGTCAATCTCCCCGCAATTAAGCCTAAATGAGATCAGCGCAATATCACATCATTAAAGGAGAGAAATCTGAATAATAATAACTCGTTATCAGATCGGTAATCACTATTCTGCTATGATATAATTGCTAACATTACCGACTCTTAGATACTAAAATTCAAAGGAGCTTGAAAGGTATTTCCCAATAACCTCATGTAGAATTAAAGTTCCAGTCATTCTGGAGGGGAAGACAATATGCAGCAGTGCAACGGTCAGTAATGGAGGACATATCAGGGTGACCCCTTTTTATGAGCACAAAACATGCCAGAATAGGTTCGGAGTCGTGAGCGCAAAATATAAGTATTGGAATTATATGTAAGGCATAAACCCTCCGAGACATTACCAAAGTAAATGCTTTCACTGATACGGAAAAGATGAAAGAGGCCCTTGAGATGCTAAGGATCCCGCGAGAGGATCTGCCAGAGCTTTTCAAGGGGAATGGAAAGTTTAGATGGTAAGTCTCCTGCAAAATATCCAACGAAGAACACTTTCTAAATAACCGCAGCAATACAGCTTCAGCAGTCAGTTCTATGGAGCAATTACCTACACCCGTAACACGTTGTAGCGGTATCGATTTGTTACTACTAAATCTACGGCTCTGCTATCAAAATTTCCAAAGAAGCTTTTCTATCGAGACAGGATCAAAAATACGAGCAATTCAGATAGCCCATCCTCCTTAACACCTCACAGAGCGACATCACAATCGCACATGTCGTCTATACACCAGAAGTCTTCACCGAAAACTCGATGTCTGATGGTTGGAAAGTTCTTTCTTTGTATAGAAATATGTCTGCTCACATGCCAGGAAAGATCTTCCTTCACTACAGCGGTACGATCTCTCGGTCTATCATTAGTTGCCAAGACTCTAGATACATCTCACAGCCACCTGAGAAGCCCGATGCTGCGGATATCTTGAGGCTGAGATTATAAGCGGAGAAGTATCAGTTGATATCCATGGCACTGTTTTAAATAAAATCGATCAACAGGATGATGAAAAGATTGAGCAACCCATCGGATCTAATCTTGCAGGCGTTTTTCCGCTCCGGCTTTTGGGTGAGATTGCTGATGACGCTGTTGTCAAAAGTATATATGTGGATCGGTATGATGAGGCTAACCCGTGTTTCCATATCTCTCCGATTCTCTCGTTGAAAGACTTTCGCCAAGTCTAACTAGCGCGCTGTGAATGTAGGACATACGTAGATCACTGTGGATACAGATACTGCGACAGTAGAGTAGACAGCAACAGATTTCACAGTACAAGCATAGTCACCACCTAGCCCAGCAGATAGCTGTTGCTCTCCAGGTTCATGGTCGCGAACATGTCAATTCCAATAGACATATGTGGAAAGCAGTTGCCAACTACTCTACTCCGTCTAATATCCATCCAAACTCCCGTTACTTTCCCAAAAGAATGCCTCAGAGCAGCATGCACACGCTTTCCTTCCCATCTATATACCTAGTACTCTTCACACTTACCAAATTCAACAGACCATAATATCCCTCGTCAGAAGACCAACGATCAAGTATGTCACAGACCTCCTATCTCCCGTCACAAAGGCCTCCCAAATCCCTTTTTCCCAAATCTTCTACTTTTTCGTCATCTCCTAGTTCCCAATTCCCAAAAAACCACCAAACGATTTCATCCTACCTAATACTCTACTCTACTCCACTCCCCTCCGCCCCCCCCAAACGAAGCCAAAGAGGGACCCCACAACCCATTTAGCTCACTCACTCACTCACTCATCGTAAGTACATACGACATCGCATAACCCACCAATTGAATCTCCGAAATCGATTCAATTCAATCAATAAATATCTGCATTATTGCAGCAAGCAACTACGATCCGATCCGTCGATATACATAATCCCATTCAAGACCGAGGTTCATACCATTAAGACGGCTATTACTATTGCATTGCAAATCTTCCTGCATTGCATGGCAGTACATGCGTAGACTCGGCTAATGTAATGATCCCACGATGCCCATACGATGAATGTCCATACGACGGCTGAACTTCGGTTCTCGTTCTCGGTCGGACCGATCCACTCAAGTGATGTGCGGCTGGCCTGTAAGCGGACGCCCTCCTATATTTCTGTCGGTTATGCAATATCTGTGTTGGATTAATGAATCATTCTCATAGACAAGTTATACCGCTTGGCATTAAGGAGCATCATTGATTACAATTCAATGAAAGGAGTACATGAAGTTACCTAACATCCGCTAAATCCCGATCTGAGAATACCTTGAATCTCTCAGTATTTATAAAAGGGACTCTGTTCTCATCTTCTTTCAATCACCATCTTCATCAAGTTACATATACTCACTCTACCGCCATACTCCCTCTACCATCATGCTCGCCACTACGATTCTTTCATTGCTATATTTGGCATTACCAGCCAGATCAGCAACCGGCCAAGCCACAAACTTCAATATCAGTACAGCTGAGCTCCAATCATATGGATGCAATGCGGCCTGTCAAGAAATCCTATCCGTATCTAATGCTGCCGACCTCGAAATCGTGGGTACAGAATTCGACTTTGATTTCTACAGCACAGCAAACAATTTCTCTTCCTCGGCTCCAGGCGATCTTCTAAAACTGCAGCCTGTCAATAGCTCTACCCTGGATATACCCGACGGCATTGCAACTTTCCGATTCCAGTATACTTCTATAGATTTGGATGGTACAATAGTACCATCCACTGGCTTTATAGCATTTCCTTTTGCCTCACCAGCCGATGGAAGCCAAATTCCCCTGATCGCCTTCGCCCACGGTACAATTGGTGTTCATCGAGGATGCGCGCCCTCATCTTCCCCAAGTCTTTTTGATTATAGTAGCTGGGTCCCATTGATGTACAATGGCTATGCTGTTGTAGCCACCGATTACGCCGGTCTTGGAAACAACTATACCTTACACAAATATACTGCTTTCACGGCTCATGCCAATGATATATTTTATTCCGTTCAAGCAGCTCGCAAAGCATTTCCTGGCGTGTTCACAAAAGACTGGGCGAGTGTAGGGCATTCTCAAGGCGGTGGCGCCGTGTGGAAGCTATCGGAGCATCCTCTTGTACAAAAGCATACCTCTGGGTATCTTGGAACGGTTGCCATATCTCCCGCGACCAAGATTCTTGACATGGCGGTCGAGACCTTTGAACGCATAGTTCCTCGTCCTGATTTCCATCAATTTGTCGTTACTGCCGAACTTTCCCAAATGGTTTACGGCATCCAAGCAGTCTTTCCCAATTACACATCGCCATGGGTCGCCAATGAGATGAAAAAGCGGATAGAAATGGCCAATCTGATGCAATCATGTACCTTATCTTTTATGGGTCTCTCCCTAGACTTGCCACGGGACCGGTACGCAGTCGAAAATGAAACACCTGCGACTGATGAACTTTTCAAAAAATTCCAGGACATGAACGCCCCAGCACAAGGGGATCCGGCTTCGAGGCCGATATTGATCATTCAGGGCTGGAATGATACTTCAGTTCTCCCTCAAATTGTCTTAAAATCATTTCAGGCAACCGTGAAGGCAGGGAATGTTGCATATTTGAAGAGATATCCGGGACTGGATCACTCTCCGACAATCGCAGCTTCTACTCCTTTGTGGTTGGAATATCTAGCTGAGCTGTTTGCTCACAAGAAACAACCTCGCAAGTCGTCGGATACCACAATTATGCCATTCAACTTAAATGTGGCCAAGACTCCATTGGAGATTCCTTTCAACGAGGAACCTCTGTTGAGCCTACTGGGGTGAATGATAAAAAATCATGATGAGAAGGAGAAGTTTTGCAGGAAATTCATCCTCTTAAGCAATAATCTCAATGTCTCGCCGAGGCTCGTGGCACTCTTAACGGTTTTTTTCCATGCGCTTTGAAGAAATTGAGTTGAGACTGCCACTGCGCAGCCAAGGCCGTCGAAGATTTTGTAGACAGAAATTGAATCAGAATAATTTTGCCTTTACACATTAAGCTATTGAGTGCGTCTGATGTGAAGCTTGCACTCTCTAATCCTCCGCTGTAGCTATGAAGTCTTGGTGTTGATAGGTGCTAAAACTTCACGACATAGGATTCCTCAAGTAAGCAGAAGCATTTCGAGATCGAATGTGCTATAGGTAAGCTGCTTGAAGAGTAGCGAAGCTATTTCGCTCCACTCATGGACTATTGTATAGCCTGGGGATCAGCCGATGTTAATTTCCCTGGATATCTTGCGATACAAACTCGTATCAATCCGAAGATAATCATTAGAAAAGTGCTGTACAGTCTTCCACACTATACCGACGACAGCCCTTGGCTAACAAAAGATACCAGATAATATAACCTGAACACAGCCATGTTTGGCTCTGTCTTGATTAGAATAGTGACGTTGAAGATGGGCAACGGGATTGGTGATAGATGAGGATGATGAGCTTTGATGGAGTAGATTTCGCGCTGATGCTAGTGAACGATGTTGTTAGCGCTTTAAACACATGGTATCCAGTAAAGAAACGGCGTATATATATATATCTATATTATTAGAATATGTCTCATACTGATGTTTCGGATGTGGTTCACATGTGGTATACTAGCCTTTCTTCCATGTGACATATCCTGAAAATCAGCAGCTCCTATTCGAGTCATACTTAACCCTCGATTACTCAACAAGGAGATATTTACGCATATCGTGATGTGTCTCCCCCTTTAATGGATGAAGTGTGACTGTGGCTCAACAAAATTCACACCTCTGTATGCACTATACCCCGCATCAAGCATGTACGGTGGTGGATGTATTGTAGGATCACGAATCCATTGAACTTGGATAGTACCTCGGTAGGTAACTTCGGATTGCGGGGTTGAGTTGGGATTATGAAATCAATACCTAGGTAATTGATGGAATGAAGTATGATTTGGGTTGCCATGGGAGCGTGGGTAATACTGAAGCATTGAGGCTAAGGTTTGATGATGTACAGTGTAGTCTGGATTTTGCAACAATGTCTCAACTGTTGACCATGGAACTGGAAGTGGTTGGTGTTCTTCATTACGAGGTCGGCAGGTACTTGGGTAAAAGTAAGATTAGGAACCTTGGAAGTTACCTAATCGAATTTGCCACACTCTAGTCCACGAGCCATGAGCCACGAGCCACAAGCCACAAGCCACAAGCCACCCCTGCATCAGCTGGAGCGGCGGGGGCTCCAGCTACCTAGGTCGGTACCTACTTATCAGCCACAAGATACAAGATATAAGCCACAGCAGATATTTTCATGATCAGTGATACATGAATACATCCCCTCGAGATACGTGAAGATCGTGCATTCAAGGTTACCCCACCTCCCCAAAACCTCTTCCAATCCATCCCGGCCCGGATCTTCGTAGAGAATGAGAAAGGAAAGAAAAAAAAAAAAGATCCAACCACCGATAGTCATTTTCTTAGCATCATGTCGTATGCCGAGTACTTGACTCAGTTACCAGTTCTTACCTCCCTCCAATTACCTCCCTCAGCTCGTCCTCAGTCTACTAAACGAATTCGAATGATCGGATTCATAATTCACCATCACCATGCCATTGCCGGCGATCAACATGCAGATTTCATTTTATAGACTACATCCACTTCGAATGCTCCGTCCAATCAAGATTCTCGGATCTCCGCCGCCTTATACCTAGCTACAAGCTACTACTGTTACAACTTAATGAGTTCCTACTGGTAACTGGTAACTGATACCACAATCTCTTTGGACCTTGCGAACCTTAATATCTTGTCATTGAATTCTCATTATTTTCATGATTACAGTTCCCAAGTACCCAGGTATCTGTTTGTAAATGACTTCCCATCTATTACATTCACTCACTCGCTCACCCATTCATTCATTCCTTTATTCAATCTCATCCAACTTTCGTGACTACCTACCTAGGTAGAGTTTGCCCCTCTCGAGGAATTAATTGTGCATTCACATTCGAGCATGACGCTTGTGAAAAGGGTCCATTAATTCGCCTTCCAAACTGCGATGCCCACAAAGTTCAGTTCGGAAACATCTGTTAGGGTGTCCGAAGTTCAAAGGGTACGAGAAGTTTACAAGTCAGTGATACGAATCTTCCTTGTCCTTTCGACTCTTGTTCAACCCTAATCTTGGATTATCTAGATATCTTCCCCCCTTTGCAGCACCCCTTATCTCCCCGCTCAAACAAGATGATAAAAATGCAGAAAGGTCAAAATCCTACCCCAAGGCCTTCTCGTCATCGGATAGAGCACTCAATGCCTTCGCGCAACTTGGTGCTCTGCGATTAAGGGCAAGGCGGGCTATGATCTCCCTCGTTGATCGGACGCATGAATATATATTGGCAGAGTCGACAAAGACATTATCATCACAGAATGATGATGTGCACGATGATGGAGATTCCCTATGGCTAGGCTTACGAACTATACCTCGCGAAGACTCATTATGTGCTGCTGTTATAAATACACCGCGATCAGAGAGCCAGCGTGACGACACTGAATTTCGACCTAAAGTAATACCAAAAGTTATAAACGATCTGTCCGACGAAACCTTGCGTTACGACCCCAATATTATTGGATGCCCGAAAATCCGGTTCGTGGCTACTGTTCCCATACGATCTCGTCAAGGATTCGACATAGGGGCATACAGTGTGTTTGATGACACTCCTCGGAGCGGATTGTTGCCAGAAGAACTGGAATTCTTAACAGACATAACTGATACAGTGATGGAGCACCTTGAGAACATTGCTGTAAAGAGAGATCATCAAAGAGGAGAGAAGATGGTGAAAGGATTAGGATTGTTTGTAGAAGGTCATTCTAGCATTAAATCTTGGTGGCTGCGCACTCGAAATGATCGCGAAACATCCGTTCGGGGTAAAGATTCATATGCTACAAGAAGCGTAGGAGGTCTGACAGCTCCTGATGAAGATACCATCGAGAATTTAGGGACTGCTGGCCCTGAAGCAAATGCATCATCTGCTGATCGATTGGGAGAGATGGAGGAGTCGATATCTCTACTTCCGACCTCATCCTCACCTCCGAGTAATCTTTGCAATGATCTGCCGCTCAGGCCGAGAGGTGAAAATGACGAATCGAATGACCACTCCTCTGTCCAAGTGAGGGATATCTCACCCTGCTTCAAGGAACAACTCGATCAACCATCCACCCTTAATTTGCCCATTCATTCTCCGCTAATACCTTCTGACTCGCCATCAGACTCGCCATCGGACGAAACCCCCAGGAGTTCATTATCCAAATCTCCTGATCAAGCGCATCTACCCATGCCGGCTGGAGAGACAACTATCAACGATATCAAAACTCGTTCCCCTTCCGAAAAAGCCGAAGCTCTAAAAAGAATGCTTTCCCGTGCGAGCAATCTCATACGTGAGTCGACAGATGTGGAAGGCGTGATTTTTTTTGATGCTAAAGAAAGCTCTTTTGGGCATCAGTCTTCTTTAAATAACCGGGAGAGACCCGCTGGCTTACATGACGCTGCACAAATATCCAGCAGCGAAGATGTTTCAAGAACCTCTTCGCGGTACGATACCTCGGATAGTGTTAATGGAAAAGATTCTGACAGCAGGAGGTCAAAAATGAAGGTACAGGCTTCACAAACACGCATGTGTGAAGTACTAGCATATTCCACAGCCTCACGCTGTACATTACGTGGTGATACAAGCTTTCCAGAGCACCTCACTGTTAAAGAAAACTTTGTTCGCCGCCTTCTCAAGCGCCATCCTCATGGCAAAGTGTTTGCTTTTGACGAAGGGGGTCATATGTCGTCCAGTGAAGATGAAATGCTCGACGCTGCGCCGACCGGAGAAATATCAGTTGTTGTAGACACTTCCCAAAACTCGATAGTTAAGAAAGCATCTTCTAAGGTCATGGAAGGCCGAACTATGCTAAAAATATTTCCCGGCGCCAGATACGTAATGATTTTACCATTATGGGATTCGCATAATGAGCGCTGGTTTGCTAGTACTATGCTCTGGACTTCTGATCCAACTAGGGTACTCAGTCTAGATGACGATTTAAATTACGTGGCTGCTTTCGGAAATAGTATCATGGCTGAAGTTTCTCGTCTAGAAATAGTCGCATCTGACCAAACGAAGACTGCTTTAATATCATCAATAAGTCATGAACTGAGGAGTCCGCTACAAGGAATTCAAGGATCAATCGAGCTTCTACAAGACACACAAATCAACAACTATCAAAGGAATGCGTTGGAGACGATTGGACATTGTTCTACAACTTTACTTGATACATTAACTAATGTACTTGACTATGCGAAAATCAATAACTTCACTACAGTAAAAAAGACGGAACAAAGAGTGGTACGCAACTCGTCCAAGATACGAAAAGCTGTTCCGGCGGAGAAGTTTCAGATCTACGGAACAATTAGCTTGACCTCAGATCTTGATATTGCCTCTATCACAGAGGATGTCATTAATGGTATATATGCTGGGCACGTTCATGTTATTCACTCGACTCCACATGATGCTTACACTGATATTGACTATCTAAACTCACCCACCAATTCTGATTTTCAAGGAATGAAGGAACCGGCGCCGTTATCTGTAATTCTTGATGTAGACCACAAATCCAACTGGACTTTTTTGACTCAACCTGGGGCCTGGAAGCGTATTCTGATGAACATATTTGGCAACGCACTAAAATATACCACATCAGGATTGATCAAAGTCAGTCTTGGGTATAAGACTGCTGCATCAAAAAATTCAAGAGTCAATCAAGCGTTGGTTACTTTGACGATTAGTGATACTGGTAGGGGGATTGCGGAAGATTTTCTGAAGCGTCAGATATACACTCCTTTTGCGCAGGAAGATAGCCTGACACCCGGTGCTGGCTTGGGTCTTAGTATCGTTCGTCAAATTGTCGGAGCACTCGATGGGAAAATCGATGTTTTTAGCATCCAAGGTACTGGTACAGTTGTCAAGGTTGTTCTCAAACTAGACAAGTCCCAACCACAGTGTGGCGACGTACCTCGCATGCCAAACAATATTGAAAGGGCTAGAAGTTACACTCATGGCCTAGAGCTGGTACTGATAGGAATGGAAATTTCACCGCCAGAGTCTGAGAAAAAAGCAGGTGGGGAATCTAGCCATGATAGATCTGTGGGGCCAGCAATCTCTAGGATTACCAGGAATTGGTTTGGAATGAAGCTTAGTGAAGCTGTTGAATTTGTTGCAAAGACTGCAGATATCTTCATGGTAACTTCCGAGAAATTCTACGAACTGGAGAATCATTGGAAAACTCTCTACTCGGAAACTACAGGTGATGCACAGAAGAAGCATTTGATTGTTTTAACAGGCTTTGAACAATCAGAAAGAAGAACGTTATTCGAGAATCACCAAAATATTCATTTCCTCAGCAATCCGTACGTTTTTTCCTTCATTATTCATGGCGTTCATTTTGTCCCTTCCTCGATTGAAATCTCTGAATACGACTAACAATATTCTAGAATCGGCCCTAAAAAGCTCGCAGATTGTTTTCTCTCTATATTCGAAAGGTCTCATAATTCCTTCCTCGCAATGCCTCCTAATGCACGACGAATCACTTCTCCTTCTTTTAATACGAGTATTGCTAAACCAGACTACAATCGTTCACTATCCGAAATTCTCTTGTCCACCAAGCCGATCGCACTCCTCGTCGAAGACAATACCATCAATATGAAAATTCTCATTGCGTGTATGAAGAAATTATCTGTGCAATACTACTGCGCGGTAAATGGTCTACATGCAGTAACCACCTACCAAAACGCGAGAGTCAAACCGGATATTATCTTTATGGATATAAGTATGCCGATCATGAATGGGTTTGAGGCATCTCGAAAGATTAGAGGGTTAGAGAAGAAAGAGGGTTGGAAAGCAAGTGTTATTGTGGCGGTAACTGGGTTGGCTAGCGATGAGAGTCAAAGGGAGGCGTATAGCAGCGGGATTAATCTTTTCTTGAGTAAACCTGTACCTCTGAAGGAGTTGGGAAAAATTGTGTTGGAGATGGAGAAGGAAAACGAGAGGAGAGCAAGTGGTTAGGGGTTAAGGGATTGGTGCAGTTAAAAGAAGGACTGGGTGAATGGATAGAAAATGGATGGATGGATGGGTCGGGGTTCAGGGTTGATTTGGGACAGTATGAGATGGACTGAGTTCGGATGGAACCGCATGAAATCAGACGACATCGATCCTCGGATGATATGGAAAGCTATTAGGCTCGGCTGGGAAATGATGGCAAGGAATGAAAAAGAACGGTATAGGAATCGGATGGGATGGGATGGAAGGAGTTGGGATGAATTGAGATACACAAATAATATGCATACACCTAGCCTTCTATACAAAATACAAAGATACCCCGTATACGAATCATGGGATTGTTTATATATATTGTAATATAGATTTATATGTATGTATGGAGGTATGTAACGTTTTTTTGAGGGGGGTGGGAAAATTTAAAAGTTGGGAAGTGGAAAAGTTTAGTTTGGTAATAGGGTAGGGTAGGGTAGTTTGATATGGGATTTAATAATAATGATTATGAGACTTTGTGGATTCGATATATTGGAAATTGAATGATTTGAATGGATGGGGTTGTTGGGTTTGACTTGAGTTGAGTTGAGTTGAGTTACTGGGTGAGTGAGTGGATGGGTGAGTGGATGAGTGGATGAGTGAGTGAGCGAGTAAGTGATTCTTATTTGAAATTGATTTGTTTGGAGAGGGGGAGAGAGAGAGAGAGAGAGAGTATAGAATGTGAGATGTGATGGGAGATGCGGGATGCGATGTAGGAAGGTAATAGGAGATGAGATGTAGAAAGGTGATGGATGGATGGATTATATTATATTATATTATATTATTGTTGGGAATCACATGTATAGCACGTGTGAGGCACGTGCACACCACCATAAAACTCCTCTCTCCGGACTTCCCGGATATACAGACTCAATAAATATATTCAATATATCACTCTTCCTGCGTAACTTGCTGTCTATTTCTGACTATTATATTATATTATATTATATTATCTTATATTATATTATATTATATTATATTATATTATATTATATTATATTATATTATATTTTAATATAGAGAGGGGAATGGGTAATATGTAATAGTGTGGGGGAAGAGGGAGGAGGGAAGAGAGGAGATGGGAAGAGAGGAGAGGAGAGGGAAGAGAGGAGAGGGCACGAGGGAAGATGGGGGAGAGGAACAGGAGTTTGAACTTTGAAGATTGAAGGTTAAGTGAGTGATTGATCGATTGGCCGGTTGATGATTTGAATAAATAGATAGGAAAATAGGAAAATAGGAAAATAGGAAAATAGGAAAATGGGAACATGGGAAACTGGGAAAATAGGAAGATGGGAAAATTATAATAGTATTAGATTTGGGGCTGGGAGGTGTAAAAGGGAGAGGTTGGATGGATAATGAAGAATGAATAATAAAGAATGAATGAACGATTAATAATTGATGATTGATGAATATCGAATTCTCAACTTTAACATGTAATAAATAGTTAGTAGGTGAGAGTTATGAAATTTGAAAATCAGTAGGGGATTGGTTATATCTCGATTCTAGGTTCTCGTGAAGCAGGCGGTTTCTATTCTTCTTTTTAGGAAAGAGATAGGTAGGGGTTTTTATTTCGGCTTTGTTGTTTTGTTATTTTGTTGTTTTGTTATTTTGTTGTTTTGTTTTTCTATTTTCTATTAGATATATACAAAGATAGGTAGGCAGGCAGGTAGGTAGGTAGATGAGCAAGTGAGCAAGTAAGCAAGTAAGCAGATAAGCACCTCATAGTATATCAATTATAAGTATCAATCCTCATTCGTACAAATGCGATGTGATGATTTGTACGAATATGAGTATAGATTAGTATTATGTGAGGTAATCATATAGATATACATATAGTATAGATATAGATATAGATATAGATATAGATATAGATATAGATATAGATATAGATATAGATATAGATATAGATATAAAAAAGAAATCAAAAGTATCATGAATATATTTCTAGATTAGTATTTGAAGTTTAGGAATTAGAAGAGAATAGATGTATATAAACATTATGTCGAATGTCTTTCTTAAAGTATTCGATTGCGATTGTGATTTTTTTAACGGATATGAGATTCTATTTGTAATGTTTGTTGAGTGGAGAGTGATTTATATGTGAAGAAGGGAATGTAGAATTTCTACTAGGTTGGAACTCTCCAGCTTGTATGACTATCTAGGTGATTAAGTGGAAGATGGAGTATGTAGAGTATGTAGAGTATGTAATCTCAAGTTTGTAGAATCGATAGAGATATCTACCCACCCACCTATCTATCTCTTCGTAGGAGGAAAAACAGACCGGAATTGACTACTAACAAAGCCCTTGAATAATCCTATTATCCATTCCAGTTCGGAGAATTAAATGATCAATTACTTTATAATTGAAGATTATTCAAAGATTTATTAAAAATCATTAACTGTTGTGTTTTTGTTATCGATTAATTTATTAAAGAATTTATTAGAGTGATCAATTTTGGTCTCTTTTTTCTCCCAAGTAGAGCCTACCCCAGGTTGATCGACAAGCGCTAATACCAATTCGTAGGATCAACTCCATCTCTTTCTCCTCCAAGTGATACGATGTGCGTCATACCATTGAGGTTCATGAGGATGGCTATTTGGTATTTGTAATGTGTAGGAGGATCGAAGCTATATTTTGTGGCTTAGTGTCAACTTTACACGTGGAAGTAAGAGGGTTTGATTGTAAAGTAGAATATAGCGATTGATTTGCCTGGGAGAAATTACAATATGAAATGCCTATAGGCTGTAAATGATGGTGAAATGTGTTGTAGTCTGATGCTAGACATGAATTTCTTTCTCGTCATGAATCATGCACATCCAAATGTACATTCAGATGGTGAAATCGTAGAAGGTTTAGATCTATGATGAGATGGTCTGGTAGACAGCACGTCTGTAACCATTAGGACCACTTAGCTCACAGGAAATAGTGTTAACATGTGTTGTAACATTGTCCTGAGAAAATATAGGACTTGCGAGGAAAATAAACCTTCCTGTGCAGGCCATTAGAATACCGAGTCTGCAACTAGCCGAACTCAAAATGTCACACACTTCGTGCATATCAAAACTTATGTATGATATTTCGGACCTTCCAAGCCGGGAATGTCGGGAGATAATGGCACACGTGGGATTTGCAAGATTGGTTTTCATACATATATTCCACTCATTCTTGAGTGTTGATTTGGTGATGTTGGTACTAGGTCGACATCAGATGGAAATATTATATGGACTCCCATAAAATAGTCATTGCGCAGGTCTTTCAGTCCTTTATCTGTTTGAAAGTATAGACTTAGTGCATGCAATAAGGTCTGCCAGCACACAACACATTGGAATGCTAGTACCTGGACCTATGTGTAGTTTCTATGATTTCATTGGTCGAACGAGTCCCGTGACGCAAAATCCATCGGAAGTTTGTTCTGCTGATGCATCGGGTGCATTTCAAGCTGCTCAGGTGTGACACAGAAAACGAGGTTCGAAAGATTTGTTCCAACAGTGGAGAGCATAGATATATGTGAGTTGAAAGAAGATGTTTTCCAGGTACCAGGAACAAAGATTATAGATGGCACCACCTGCCTCGGCATGGATCTGTCCAAAAACAGGAGCCAAGATATATAAGTGGCTGAATTTGAAGTCGATGTTGTGTGACCCAAGGCTTTGGGATTCGGGTCAGTTGATGGGTGGTTTTAATAGAAGGAAAATCATATACTCAGTTACGAGTCGTCTTGCCTTCTATCATCATCATCATCCTCATCATCATGCGCAGAAAGTACGCCATTAATATTCTGCCACTTATTTTTCAAAACTTACTGTGATTGTTTTCGTGCCTTGCATTTTGCAGATGCAAAAGTATTTTTTTTTGTGGTTCCTGAGCGTACTCACTACTCAGTGGTAGGTAAATTCGGACCTGGATTCGCACTTGTCTGGGTGTGGTCCGGCTGGACGATCAATTAAAGATCTGCATTATCAAGTTATGCCTACTCATACATTTAAGCTGCCACATAGAATTGCTTACCTGATGGATATCTTTGTACGGACAAGATGAGGCTAGATACAATGAGATGAGTATCGTCGGCTATATAAATCAATTGTCTCATTTTTCGTTTTTCGATTTTTCGACTTTTTCGACTTTTTTAATTTTTTAATTTTTTTAATTTTATTTTTGAAAATTTTAAATATTAATATTTAGTTGATTTATTATATAATATAAATATTATCAACATTTATTAAATTAATTAGAAAAAGATTATATTTATTATAAATAAATAGACAAAAAGACCATTGTCCTCCGCAAGGAGCCCGGCTGGTTCAGTGGTAAAGTGATCGGGCCACTCTCCCACTGTTCTACGACTTAAGGCTATAGCGACGAAATTTTCGTATATATGGGCCAATCCCCATCTTTGGGATCCACATGGATCCACTCTATATGCCGCCTCATAGGCCACCTTAGTGTGGACCTCATAACACAGCTCCTCTGAGCTTCGACAATCTACCGCTAACCCTAATAGAGCTTCTCTATTATGGGCCGCAAAAGCGATCGATCGAGTGCTGAGGAGGAACTAGTGATCCCCCCTCCAGCCACCACCACTGCGCCTATGCGCCACTCCGCTATCAAGCAGAACCACCGTTCCGGCCGCTCCTCTTGAGCGGCCTAATAGCCGAACCCTCCGCTCCTCTGGAGCACCACCACACACACACCCGCTTCTTTGAAGCGGCACACCTGTACACACTGCTCCTGTCTATAAAACATGGTTCTATGACAGAAGTAATTGTACAATCAGAGCGCTCCTCTCCATGAGCAGAAGGAAGCGCTAGGAATATGGGGCCAATCAAAAAAACGGCCCTATTTGCGATCATTACACTGGCTTGTTTAGGATATATAGAAGGAACTGGGTTTACCCTATGAGGTTTTACTAGCGTGCGCATCAGCGCCTTTCTGTATTTGTAACTCTAGATCTAGTCACGTCTTTCATACCCCTCGGGAGGTCCTCCACAAGACGTTAATCACTATAAATAAATAAAAAATTATAAAATAAATAAAATGAATAAAATGAATAAAATGAATAAAATGAATAAAATGATTAAAATGTGAAAAAGTAAGAGTGAAGTAAGTAATTTATATATATGTATTTTTTCAATTTTTTTAATAATAATTTTATTATATTAAATACAATCTTTCTTTATTTAATTATATAAATCTTAATAATATTTATATTATAAATTAAATTAAATAAATATCAATATATTTTTTTTTTAAAAAAAAGTCGAAAAGTTGAAAAATGAAAATGAGACAATTGATCTATATAGCCGACGGTAGATGAGTATACCGGACTGGTGTATGATCATTTGTGATCGTTCGTGGTGTTTGAATGATAAAGTCAGCTTACTGTTTTGGGGGGAGTGGATGTAGTAAATGTAGCAATGTAGTGATGTATCTTGTAATCCATCTTCTTGACAGTATCGTAGTGTTGTCTTGGCTTCATCTTGATTGTTCACTGGCTGATTTATATATAACGTGTTGGATGAACGAACACCTTCTTCCTTCTTACCAAGTATATGGATGAACTTTTGATTCGCTCTTTTGTTGGTGTGATTGTATCGGATCTAGCCAACTGCATCGATTGACTCGAGTCAACGACAAAACAGGGGAAGTCAAGATGATGCTTTGTTCGAATTCTTTTCAACGGTGAGTGAGTAAGAGAGCAAAGATAATGACTGATAATAAAAGGATTCCAGCACTTTTTGCCCTGCCCCGCCCCTCGATTGCTTATCGCAGTTAGTGGCGGCACATTAACTCAAAGGTAGAGAGAGCACAGGGCGTATCGGACAGAAAGTGTCAAGCATCTTGTCAAGCCATGAGATTCAAAGGCAACGAATGAGCAAGAAAGATTACCCACTCACCACCGAGCCACCGTATAGTAGAGAAAGAAGAGAATAAGACCCGATCCGATACGATACCGATAGCCCAATATCACATCATCCATGTTCACGAGGCGGCTCTCGAGGGTCGACATATGTAATGTATTATATATCTTTTTAGCAACACATCATATCATCATATCATCTTCGAAATCCTGTAACATTACACATATTACAGATTACATGATGTTATATAACATGTTACGTGTAATCTATTTGCAGTGAACAAATAGAATTCTTACCAGTATTTTTTTCTAGAGGGGTAGAATCGCAGAAGAAGCTTATTGAATGTACTATTTAATATTGATCCACTTGATGAAAATACAAAACGATGACTTGCAGTGCTTGCTGAAATGTAATAGGATGCTTGTGTTATATTAAGCGCATATGCTGCAGGCTGGAGCGGTTCAGGTAAGGGACAGGAACATGAATTCAAGTTAATCCTCGTCACTTTAAGTGGCTCGAGAGTTGAGTGAAAGTTTTGAAGATGCACGATGGGTTGTAAAGTGGAAAAAAGTGTATCGTTCCTGAAAATATGGGTTTCCCGCTGTCATCTTGTCATCTTGTCAGGTCCTCCTTATATTCATTCATCTGTACGCCCATTCATTTATTCAAATCAATGTTCCCGCGAGTACTCCGTACGGACTTTTTGGTTTCATCTTAACAGCGAGCTCTGCACCAGCTAATAAGCCATCAAATGATGTACAAGTAGAAATTGTTCAGCTGTGGGTAGACTAGTACGTGAGACTGAATGAGAATGGGACTGGTCGGAATGAAGGGGGAATACGTCTATCGATTTCTTCTGCCGAGAAGTTATTTTGGTCTTCCGATTTGGAAAGGTAGATGTAGAGGAAGGTGCTAGTCTGAATAGGCATATAATGTATTATAAGTTCGATGCTAAAGCCTTAAGTAGTATAACTAGTTTAATAATAATTAGATTTATTATAATAAAATCTATTTTTCTGATGTATATTACGTACGTGTCTACAATCGGAAATCCAGTCACTTTCTTTATATCAAAGATAGACTTTGACTAACTTTCATACCGACGATTTCCTTTATTCTTCTTCTCGTCATTCGTTAACTTTTCCCTTCGTACCTTTCGTACCTTTTCGTACATTTTGATAGACTACTTTGAATTCGCTTATCGTTACGCTACCATAAGGTTATCGGTTCAACTATGACAGCTCGAACGAGCTTGAGGACAGCTACTACGAAGCATGCTAACAAGACTAAATTATACCTTACAGCTTCCCTGCTTAGAAGAAATACTAACATTTGATAGAATAATATGTGAGAAAGCTAAAAAGATTTCTTTGGATAAAACTCTGTCTCTCTACCTCTTCCTCTGCCTCTGCTGGTGATAAGTAATCGTACCTGGAACTCATCCCACCTATCAATACTTTCTAGCAACGAGACGATCTGATTTCATCGTTATAATCTATAACATATAATATATTAATGAAATACCATGAAAGCTAGAGAGTTGAGTGGATATATATGAAAAAGCCTTTGTACCCTCATACTCTCATACTTACAATCATACTTACACCCTTTCTCTCTCGTTTTTATCAAGTCAGAAAAATCTTTCGAATCTTCCAAATCTATCAAGTCGTCAAGGAATATTTTGTTCAGGTGTTCGTCTTGTCCTGACCCGAATCCTTCCTTTCTTGAAACACTTAAGACTAGCTACCCACCCGGCTACTCGAGTCGAGCTATTCTTTTACCCCTTCATTTGCTTCTGCCACAGCCAACAAACAAGCAAGCAAACTTTGAACGAAAGACCATCCACTACAATCATCGCACACAAGCAATCTTCATAAAATCTTTGAACCATAACATACACAATCGATAGATATACTTCTACCTTATCGTGCCTCTTATTCTTTGCATCAATTCAAGGTACGACTCTTGAATCATTCATCCGCTTGCCACGATATCGATATCGAGATCAATTCTTGCAGATCTTATAAGAGTCGTCTAAAGCGTCTAAAGATATATAGAAAACAATCCTTGCATCACTCACTACACTATACCGGGTAGCGATAATCTTTCGCAATCAAATCGATTTTTAATCTTCGCGGGCGGAAACAAGGCAAAAAGAGGAAAAGACATCAGGAAAAGATCAAAAGAGGAAAAGAGCAAAAGAGCAACATTATTCTCCCGGTCGCATATTATTGTTGTAACCGCTACCTACCTAGTATTTCCTTGTCCCCCCCGCCATCCTCTTATCGACGACATAATATTATCGCCGTTCCTCGGATAACCTCGACCTCGACCTTTATAATACTGGACAACTATTGAGAAAAAAATAAAAAGCATTTTCAAGAAAAAGAAATACTACTCGATTATTAATTCATCGTCCTGTCAACAATACCCTCTTCGATTCGGTTGCAGGTCTAGGCTGTGTCTTCTTCGTTTCCAGGCTGAAAGAAAATCACCGGAGCTGGATTCTTTTGAAACCAAGCCTCCTCTACTTGGGTACCTTTGCCCTGCTTACGAATTCCATAACACACTCTTGTTTGTCTTGATGCGGTGACAGAGATACTATTCACATTGCCTCATCCTTTTCATCCCTTACACGACCTACTATCGCGATCACCCCTCTCGTCGAGTCCGTAGTGATCAGATCAATATCGTCGACCACAATGAGTACCGATCCTCAATCAACTCGGGAGCCAGCATCTGGTCCGAGATCCGGTGCCTCCTTCCTACCTACAAACACCATCCGTACAAATAACCTCAATGGTTCCGAAGTCGAAGGACCATTCAGCGGCCACAATCCCCAAGAGTCGACGGTTACGACACCTCGACCCAATACCGCACCCAATACCCAACCTCGGCCGATGCATGGATCGGAAGATGCAACAACTCCTACAACAGTCTCAGATGCGCTTGCCAATCAAAGACCTCTCCCACAAGCTCCTTTCGATGTGGCCGCGACCATTCCAGAAACCGTGGCAGGTTTGACAGCCATGAACAGAAATAATTCGACGAGGTCAAATAATTCTATTGGTTCTGAGGATGTTGATATGGACAAATCCGATGCTGCTAGTTCCAATGGCAATAGCCCAAGACCGCACAAGAAGAAGAAGAGTCAGAAATTCTATTGCACGGATTATCCGCCATGTAACCTCAACTTTACCAGAACCGAGCATTTGCAGCGTCATATAAGGTAATTCACTACATTCTGAACCACTCTACAATCACTTCTCATCTACTAACCCTTGGTGTGATGCAGAAAACACACCGGAGAACGTCCCTACGAATGCTTTTGTGGGCGTTACTTCTCTCGAAGAGACAATCTACGCCAACATGCTCAAACGGTACATCAAAAGGAGGAAATCCCCCCAGGATCGTTGGCAGCCACTAGCACAAGATTTCCTAGACAGCCTCGTACAGATAGATCTAAGCCCCCTGGCAGACAACGAGCTGCTACAGTGAGCGAACAGGTACCATCATATCGTGGTCATCATCGAAATTCCTACTCCACTTCCAGCATAATGTCGAATATGTCGCACACATCGAGTTATAGTCAAGCACACAATCTCAGACGCCCACTCGCTCTACAGATGCCTAGTCCCTTAACAAGACGCCCAAGTTCACCTGGAGGTTACAGTACGCCCACTTCTGCTACTTTCTCAACTGGTCAGAATAGTCCGCGATGGCCAACCCTCGGGTTTCAATCATCTCCTGGACCAGGCGTAGGTGTACAAATACCAGCTGGTCGCATTTATGACGGACATCATACGCCCGGTCGAAGATTGTCTACACCCTCGGCCGCAAATCCGTTTTCCCCCACTGGTCCCGCTTCCAACCCTTTTGGCACGTCATCAAATTTCTCTGCAGCGGCACCCTATTCGCCAAGTTTGGTTTCAAGCCCTACAAACTCGACATTCAACAATGGTGGACAATCGATGGCTGCCCACCATTCAGATATGGATAATAGAAGGAGAACCTGGCACCAAGGAACCAATGCGGCTACACTAGCATCATTCACCACGAGACTGCATAGTGTTATGAACGCAAACCATTACGCTGATGGTCCTATACCTGAACCGGCCGCGATCCTTCGCAGTAATGCCCCTCCACAAGAACATGCAAGACTTCCTGGTATCTCAAGCTTGTTGCCTGGTAGAGGAGAATCTCCTCCGCCTCGCCGTAGTCGAGAACAAATGATGATTGACAGGCCACACTCTTACCATCAGCCAAGCCTTAGTATGACTGAACGTCCAAGAGAAAATCCTGCGGATAGACCAGCGTCCTATTATCAGCCAATCTCTGACGTGTCTAATCGTGGTCCAAGTCAAAGAATGATCGATAGACCGCCTTACTATCAGACCAATACTCCCATGTCTGATGACCCTCGTCCGAGTCAAATGATGACCGATAGACCAAATTCTTACCACCAGCCAAACCCGATTGTGCCTGAACGTCGTCCAAGTCAAATTATGACTGATAGATCAAGCTCTTATTATCAACCAAGACATTCCATATCAGAATCGGTCTCCTATTCTAATCCAAGACCAATGCCTTCCAGGGACCGACCTCTTAGCTCTCACCTTGATCGACAATTTACCCAACTGGAAATTCAAGGCCCACCACATGCGGATGCTGCGAGCTGGGCTAACGAGACAGCTCGTGCTGTTCATGCAACTGCACAGCAATCACAGGCCAATCAACCAAGAGTAACGTTTGAGCAGCCAGCACTTGGTCCTCGAACAGGCGCATCTTCATCTTATCACCACAAGCATACCGCTAGCTTACCTGTAAACATGCACAGATCAAACAGACGCGATGGGTGGTACAACGGTCCAGTAGTATACCAGCAGACTTCTGACAATAGATTCCAAGGAACTTCTCCGGAAGGATCGACTGGTTCCGAAGGTGCAGCGCCTATAACTCCACAAAGTGCCACCGCGACAGATTATAACCCTACCGTTGTACGCTCCAATGGATACCACGAGGAACCTTCTCGAACCATTCATCCTCAACCACCAGCTGTTCACCACTACCACACACTCTCAAATGGCAATGAACATTCTTATACACATAAGCCCCCTACGTCAACTCAAACTATGTATCCGCAAGTCCCTCAATCATCTACGCAACATTATCGCACTGAAGGATTGGACGCTCTGGCAGCAGCCGCAACAAGTGGTCAGATCAGTGTACACAATAATGCATTTTGAAGGATTGATTTCGTTGGTTCATACCTTTTGTGTAAATATTACACCTCGAGTCAATTTCTTTTAACGATACCCGACTTACATTCTATTTGTAAGAATGTCACGAATTCATGAAACAAGACAGATTCACTTTATTATCACGATTTTTCCCTTTATTTTTCTGCGACTATTGAGAAAGGGACATTTTGATTTACCAGCGTTGGTGTTTGGGTTTTTGGCATTATTAACTCTTTCTTCTATTATTCTCTCTCAAGCTTTATCGACTTCTTCACGCCATTCAATGTTGTGGTATATACAGATCTCATGTACCGCGGCTAGTACCCGTGATTGTGTCTAGCGTTTTCATCGTCACATTCGATATCGTCGGCCACTGATTACACAGTGCATTGATATTCTATACGAAACTTCGATTATCTTCAATGACTTGGAGGAAGCTTGAGCCCGAGGTTTTGACCAATTTCCTTTGTATTTAGGTCTGATTTTTGGGTAGCGTTTGGGTGGGATTACTTTGGATTTTTTTTTAATCATGATTTAGCGTACTTGGGAGGTTTCAATTGTTATTTCTAGCGTCAGGACAAGGCGGTACTGTACTCGGGATTTTCTAATGGGCGGCATGCTTGGCTATGACTTGGCTATGAGATTTGCAATATTGATACCTCTATACCCAAATGCTATTCAACCATTTTCTCAAGGCTTTTTCGACAATTTTTCTTTAGAGACTACGGTTCTAGATATGTGTGTATGCTTCTAAATTTTCATGGGTGGCAGATATAATACTTGGATCTTGGGGGTTGTTACGAGGAAGAGGAAGGTGAAATGATGTCATGGGTGTTTGGGATGGGTTGAACGAGTTGGCTGGCGGGCGTCTGGCTAGTCTGTTTTGTATGCGTGCATCTTTCTTTTGCGGTGGTGGTACATCCTTGCTTGCATTTTCGTATCTAGGGGAGGGGTCTTTTTAGTATGGTATGTATGGCCTCGAGAGTTGAGAATATAGGGTTTGATCTCGGAATCTTTTGATGTTTTGATCCGTGGAGCTGGGAAATGAGGTTGGGTGGCCGGGTGGTTTGTGGATTGGTTGGCGGGCTGGATGTTAGATGGTGAAGGGTTGTGTGTACTTATGCATGTAGGGTAGTTGGTTGAGTGGTGTGGGCTGGGCTGGACGGGGTGGGGCTGGGTGGGTTGTGGATGGATGGATGGAGGGATGGAGTGATTGAGTGGTGAATGGATGGATGGATGATTGGACGAGGGGAGGGATAGAAGAGTGAGATATTTCTGGCGAGTAGGGGACGGAGATGGGGGTGGGTGGTAGCTTCGTTTAGCTTGGTTTTACTTAACTTGACTTGACTTGACTTGACTTGACTGATCTTGACTTGGGCATAATATGATTGATTATCTTTATATTTGTGTTTGTGTGTTTATGTATCTATGTATGGGTGTGTGGGTGTAGGGTTGATAGGGTTGATAGGTAGGTAGGTAGGCATGTACCTACCTAGGTATCATAGTCAATGGATAGATACCTATGTACCTAACTTCATCTAGTAAAGTTGGCAAACACATATTGTGAATAGATGGGGTTGTTGATGTGTATGTGTGTGCGTGTGTGTGTGCGTGTGTGCGTGTGTGTGTGTGTGCGTGTGTGCGTGTGTGTGTGCGTGTGTGTGTGTGAACTATTTTATGTATGTATGTACCTAGGTATCTTTGTTTGATTTTTTTGCCTCATGGTAGTTGAGTTATGGTATTTGGGTTATGTTGTATGCATGGAAGGATGGATGGAAGGGAGTATGAATGAGAGTATGTATGTATGCATAGAAGAGCGAAAGAACCTTGGAAAGAAAGAAAGATTTTATACATGTGTACGATAGCAGGTGGTTGTACGGAGTATAGATGTACTAGTATTTTTTAGCTTTAAAGATTGTGATTTGTGGGTAGGTAGGTAGGTAGGTATGGTTTGCGGATGGGGTTTATGAATATTCTTTAGCTTTGATATTTATGAATGATGACTGTGAATTTATGGTTAGGGTTTATGGATGTGGTTTATGAATTATGAATTATATATTACGAATTGTGATTTATGATTTATGATCTGTGCTTTTAGGTATGTATGTATATATGTACATCCCAACCTCGCTGTTTTCACTTTTGGGGGTTTTGCTTTTGCGGGGTTTGCTTTTTTTTTTGTTTGAGGGGGAGAGGGGTGGGAGATGGGTGATGGGAGATGAGGGGAGAAGAGGCTATGGCGTGGAAGTTTGGAGTAGATGGATGGATGGATTAGATAGAAACTTGGGGGGTAGGTAGGTAAGTAGGGAAAGAGGTAGGTAGGGAGGTAGATGTTTATTAGGGGATGTGAGATGGAGATTGATAGAAGGGAAATAAAGGGGAATTAGGGATTGGATTGGGATAGAGATAGAGATATTAGGGTTGGATGAGATCGGATGGGATAGGATGGGATATGATGGGATGGGATAAGAGCTGCTGAGATCATACTATGAGACGGGGATGCGGATAGTGTGTGTGCGTGTATGGTGTGTCTGTTAATTGATGGGGAGCGATTCTGGACGTAGGCCGGTAGGTGTTACTACACCATTATTATGCCATTACTATGCGAACAGATGGGTGGGCTAGCTAGAGCATGAGCCTTGAGTTGCACAAGCTTATTTTCTTAATTTCTCGTTTCATTGATTAAGATGCAAAGATTATAGATCTAAGTTACGGAAAGGAAAGTACGAGGATATACGAGGAGATGGGAGGATTTAGAACAGTGGATGGATGCTTGCGAGAGGATATGTTTCAGATTTGTATGTGTGAGGGGTACGTGGGTTTGGATTTGGGGTTGGGTTTTGGAAGAGTGGGTTTGATTGGTGGGGTGTGAGGGGCATGAGGGGAGGGGGAGGGTGGAGAGTGGGAGGGAGAGTGGAGTGAGTGTGAGAGTGGAGAGGGTGAAGGTGTGAGGGGCGGGGAGAATTGGAATGATGAACTTGGTGAGGGGTTGGTGTGTGTGTGGTTGTCTGTGTGAGAGGTGTGAGAGAGTATACGGGAGGTTTATGTTTGGGGTTGAGGGGGAGGGGGAGGAGAAGGAATTGAGAAAGCAAGCAGATAGTACGAAACAAATGAGCAAAGAGATGAAGTGATATGGGAAATAGGAAATAGAAAAGAAGGGTTTAAAAAGGAAGGGCCAAAATTGGAGATTCGGAATTAGGCATGAATGAAGCGCGAAGCATCTAGCCTTACTGATGATGAGATTAATAGGTAGGTGGAAGAATGCAGGTAGAATCGTTTTCGTACATCTCCATTTCCTCGACATCTACATATGGAAGACCATAGAGACATAAAGATGGGAACCATGTATGAAACTTTTGGGGATGGAGATCCATAATGAGATACCCACTGTTGACCTGGAATGGATGGATAGGAATACAATGGTTTTGTGCATCAATGGAGTCTCGATCGAATCTTGTAAGCTTATTTGTGATCATCGTTCGGGGTCAACGGCGGAGTTACATATCTAGTTACAGATAGATAGGTACTTAGAAAACTGGATAGTGGGAATGTATTCTTCGATGTGTATGCTAGAATTCCGGGTCCAAGTTTCTTTATCTTGATATGCATGCGATGTATGATATTCATACGCATGAAAACGGGGCTGCGGGAAAGCTAACATGTAATAGGACAGAGATTCAACCTAAAGGATTCCGCCCCAGATCCGAACAGCAGAGTTCGGGTAAGGGAAAAGAGAAAGAGAGGTGGATTGGATGGGGTGAGATCGGAGTCGGGATGTGTATCTGTGCTTTATGCAGAGAAGTGGAGATGGAGTTGAGCTGAGTGGTTTGGTTTGTTTATATGGATTTGGGAGGATGGAAGGGAAAGGAGGGGTAAGTGGGTATGTGGGTATGAGGGATGGTGGCGATCATTTCTTCCTTGGGGGATTGGGGATTTGAAGGGTTGGGTGCGAGAGGGTGTGAAAGGAAGTTGGATGGCTGGATGGTTGGTTGGTTGGTTGGATGGTTGGTTGGATGGTTGAATACACTTCGTTATGATACGATGTATGATGAGAAACTGGGAATTCATCTAGTCGAAACTTGATGTTAATATATCCATCTATGATGGATTGGAGTGGGAGAATAGGTTTAATGCGAGATGATGTGGATATTTGCGACGCTGTCTATAGACTTATTTTTGTTTGTGATGTTTTTTCATTGGTTTAGCGATGGATTTGGAATTCGTGAGCAGAGTGGTATGTATGCATGTGTGAATGCTTGGGTGCATTGGGACCACGAGATGAGAGCGTGCTGGGGCGAGGTTGTATTTGGCGTGAGTTTGCATATGGGTATGGGTATGGTGCATGATGGCTGTGGTCAGCAGGAGAATTCTCTTGATGTTGATAGAGTGATGGGAGAGGGTGTTGAGAGAGTTGACTGCATCGAAGTTGGATATTCTAGTTTTAATTAGTGGTGGGGGAATGTGTCTTCAGACTGGAATTTGAGTCAGATGGATGAGAGCCGTGGGATTCCTTACTGAGGAGCTTGGGATATAGGGAGAGTGATGCTAGGGTGTATGTTCTTGTCTTTTATATCAGAGGACGGTTAGTGATTTTGTGAACTGGTCGGTGAGAAGTGATGAAGAGGAGTAATGCCATTGTACTGTATTATCTCAAAGGGGTAGAGTGATCTGAATCATCTTAATGTCTGTTACATATTTGAACAATCAGGGTTGATTGGTTGTTAGATCATCGTTTCAATAACCCAATGTCATGAAAAACAAGTGGAAGAATGCAATACCTACCTATCTGGGTACTTATCTAAGGATGATGGGAACTACTCTCAAAACCACAACATCTTGTTCATGATATTAGTTAAGTAAATAGTAAGTTCAAACTCAATATAACATAAACCTGGCTCTGCTATGAAGTAACTGATCTCTCAAATATCTCAATTCAACTTCCAGTATCATCTCAACTCTTCTTTCTCTTCAATCTCACTTTCCTTTCCTTTGATATCACTTCCGTCAGTATTCACAAAAGCCTTTTCACTATTGCCCATCCAATCGGACTTCCACTCCGCGTGCCATTCCACTTTCTTACCATCGTTCTTGGTTTTGAAGATGTCTGAGAATGTGGGTGTGATGGAGTCGGCGTTTTGGAGTTGAGGTGAAGAGGGATTGTTTCTCCAGTTTTTTAATGGGCGTGGGATTGTTTTTTGAGATATTTGGACTTTGAGGCTGGATTGCGTATCGTCGTCCTCGTTGTCTTGATCATCGTTATTCTCGTTTCTGTCATCTTCATTGTTGTCTCCCTCGTTCTCATTCCCATCATCTTCGTTTCCGTCGTCTCCATTCTTGTCTCCATCACTTCCATCATCCCCATCGTTCTCATCACCTCCTTTATATCCATCTCAATATCTCGCTTCACCCCACCACTTACACCTCTCTCTCGTCCCTACATCAACCCACAAATCCTCTTCTACCCTCACTTCTCCTTCCGGTACAATCATACTTCCATTTTCTTTCGATCCAAGAATCACAATCCCATCTTTATAAACTGGAAACTCTGGTCCAATCAACCCGCGATTCGGATCCCCTTCTTTCACAAACCCAACAATATAGGCCTGAAGTGTTTGTGCAACAATTTCGGTAGATGGAAGGACCTTTCCCGTGTTGTATATATCTGTTGGATCAGAAGGCGGTTTTTGATAGAACTATTTATACAGTTAGAATGTTTGAAATGGAAACATAGAATATCAAGAGAGGATTCACTAACCGAAAACCCAACATCCTGTCCATGAACACCCGGTTCTACTCCAAAAACATACTTATAACTCCCCTCAGCTCCAAAAGCATCAAGCAAATACACCGCATTACAAATCGTGCTCAGTTCCGCTGTTGCATTCGCACCCCTGAGCAATTTATCCAGAACTCCTGCATTTTCGTCGTCCAAAGGATATAGATCCTTAACAATGTACTCTAAATCTTCATCTTTTAATCCTGGTAAACTATTCCGTATGAATGTAGCAAATGTATCATCATTTTCCACAGCTGTGATGTCTGTAAATAATAGTCCCTCAAGTGAATTATGAGCAACCATTATCCCATCAATGTCATCCCAGAAATCTCCATCTCCCAATAGAATGGAAACAGGCTTTGCGATAAAAATAACGTCTAGAGTAGGTCCGAAAGTAAATTGTGCATATGGCGATTTCGAAACCAAAAGCTTATTGGCAGAAATCAATACTTCCTCAGGCTTGTTTTTCAATTCTTCAATAGTATCTGCTCTAGCTACGAATAAAAAGTCGTCAAAAGCCTCGAGCTTGGTATTAGCATCGGCTGCGGGAAAAAAGGCTGGGGATTGTAGAATAGCTCGTTGAAAAGGTGCACGTGGTAAGGAATCTGGGTTTAATGAGAACGACGATCCGCCATAAGATGTGATGTGGTGCAGGATAGATGATGCACCGGCAGATTCTCCGATGACGGTCACACGGTCAGGATCACCCCCAAATTTAGAGATGTGTTGGGAAACCCAGTTTAAGGCGAGAGCTTGGTCGTAGAGACCAGCGTTTGGGGTTGGGTGAGGATCGGTCGAGTTGTCAGGAGTGGAGAGGAAACCGAAGGCGCCGAGACGGTAGTTTAAGGTTACCTTGAGTGAAATGTTAGTTGTGAGCAAGCCCTAGGAGGACGATGGACAAACAAAGATGATGCTATCGTGGATAGCTACGCTTTCTGATGTGAAGGTAGAAGCATTGAAAAAACCATATGGACTACCATCTTGATTCTTATGTCTGAACGTAAAACCCCCTCCGTGTATCCAAACCATTACTGGTACTATTGTTTTGTAAGTCTCTCTCTTCAGCAATATCATACGGTGATAGTACTTACAAGGAGCAAAATCATCATCTTCCTCCACCGCTTCAGCTACTCCCTCTGGTACAACCACATCCAGCAACAAACAATCCTCGCTTTCCCAACCATGAGGAACGTCTTCAAATGGATTTGGTTTCAAGTGACTTGGATCTATATTATTAATAAGTCCCAAAGTATACAACGCAACTAGTAGACCAGCATCCTCTGTCCAATCTGGACGAGCTTGTGGACATATATGTCCGATGGAACCATCATTAATATGCGAAGAAGTACTATTTATAGGAAGAGGTTTTGAAAACCGAAGATCTTGGAGAGGTGGAATAGCGTAGGGGATATTGCTGAAGTTATTATAGTGGCCGGTGGACTAGATGGGGATTTGGTTAGTAAGAGTATGGGAATGGGTAGGGTGTCTGATAGTCCGAACTGAAATCCAACAATGAAGACTATTAAATCTCTAAGGCAATTGGAACATTGAGATATCTTCAGATGTCCAACTGCTTTTAGATATTCAAAACCTTAAATTGTTGAACTGCAGTCCAAACTATAGGATACCCTGGTCCGAATGGGAATGGATAAGGGGTACTGACATTGAAGATGGCTTGATGGCGCTCGTGACTGAGATCGACTATTGGTCCAGGAATTGATGGGTTTTTGGGATGAGGTCTTGGAAAAGTTGGCGGGGGGCGTAAGGAAGGTGGAGATGGTTGGAAGGGACGGCCATGATGACCTCCCTCAGAAGCTTCAGCTGAAATAATGATGAATGCAAAGATGTTCAAAGCTTCATCTTGAGACGGAAACAGCAATACTTGGAGAAAGAAATCAAAATGGAAATGGGGTGTAGGCTTTCTTGTATCTGAATGTTTCGTTCACTGTCTCATTCATGTGATATGTCTGAGCTCAGCTTAGAATTAAAAATCGCATTGTAATTGCGATGCAACGCCGGATGGCATTTGTGAAGTTGTGAAGTCGTACTAGGACTTGTGTCATAGATTTTGTCTCAAACACAATAACTTCCGTGTCGTACTTTCACTATCGCCTTCGTCCATAGGCCTAATCTTTGTCCAGATTTGAACACCGTATCTGGAGGTAGATTATTGATCTTTCCAATCCTTTCAGTTTCGAGAACCTTAAAAATGACGAAAGCAGAGTGCAGTCAGAGTACATAAGAAGCACTCAGTCTGTGTTGGATGAAGATCAGTTATAGTACAACATTGGGACAGAGCAAGACATGTGCTCATTGTCCCATAAAATTCCAGATATTAGAGTCAAGTCTCGCTTTCTAGTACCACGAGACTGAATTGCCAAGTAATTGAAGTACTTTGAAAGCAGGATAACACTAAACTTGCTCCTAAGACATTGAACTGTGAGTCTGGCAGATTGTCAAAGTATTATGACGTATAAGTGAGATGGGGAATTTCAGATTGGGAAACGAAAAGGGCCAATTTATCCGTAAGTTGAGACAATAATACTTATTGCGTAGCTTGAGCTAATCCAGTTGTTCTTTTGAATCAGGTTGTGTAATTGTCCGGATTTCAATTCAACAATGAAGATTATCAAATCTCCAAACTAATTCGAATAATCAAATCATTTGTGAGACTAAATTTGGTTGAACATTGAACTATTTGCAGATTTCTGATTGCTTTTAGATATTTGAAACCTTATATTATTGAATTACAGTCTGGACTATGGGAAAGCGTTTGCCTATGAAGAAGGCAAGTCCAAGTTTATGATCCAGGGAGCATTGGTAGGCTGATGTTCTCCATCCAGAATCGCCGCATTAACCATCAGAGTTTTCTTTGCCAGACTCAATATGCAAATCCATAGCCTGCGGATACTTGCTGACCAGTTCATCCTCTCTCTTCATCTCATCTTCCGATACGATTTTGTTGGCGCCATACCCCTCATGGACATGGCCGAAGCAATGCATCAAAGGCTTCGCACGTTGGACTGCGCGAAAGGTATTCTCGCAGCCCAAGTTCTCGTCACGGTCATAACAATATCCACATCAGCTGGGATAGGATTTTCAGCAATGGAAGTTACGCCCTCTGCAGTTGCCCCAGATGCATTGAATCGATCTTCGTTACGTTTGTAAGGGAAGGCGTAATCGTTAAACTCGGGTTGGTATGGCGAAGCATATATCTTAAATGTTTGCACCCCTTTTAAGATTGAAAGTGTGCGTTCCTTCCTCCAAATAAGTAACAACCGGTTCTTTCGCTAATTCCCCCTTCATTACATGGCCCGTGCATGGTCGTCAAGATAGTCCTCGTCTTCCTCGAGGTGTGCTTTGCACCATCCTTCATCAAACTCTAAATCATGATTTCCTGTAATAACTAGTTTAAGCTCTGCTTCAAAATTGCTGAGCATTTGAAGTGCTTTTTTGAAGGCAGGAACACCTCCAACTTGTGTTAAATCTCCATAGTGGAGAAGAACATCGACTTTTGGGATAGGAAGCTACAATTTGCTCGAGGCGTTGTCGCCAAATGGGTAATCGTGTGTGTCAGACAACACGATAAAACTTGTTGCTTGAGTTCTTTGCCATACTTACCATTGCGATATTGTTGATAGTGTAGTCTAGTTGAAATATGAGAATTATTCCAAATGATAAATTCGTGGATTCGAAGTGATAATGCAGAATTGAATGTGCAGGAATATCGATATAATTAAGGTGGGGAATTCTTTCTATTCATATTTCTGTGCATGGAGCTAGAGTAGGTGACTTTGAGCACGTGATCAGATATTAGTCACTAACGGCTAGTTGTTATCCTGGCTATTTGGATTGATAATTTTCACTAGACAGGCTTATAATGTTTGTAAGTTTTTCTTCCCAGAAACAGAGATAACTTTTCCTCAACACGATGCACATTATCATAGTTCTCACCAGCAATTCAACTCCAAAAACTCAATACCATTGCACAGCATCAAACTTCCAATTCAGTCCACTCCACTCCATCACAGAATCTCCGTCCCATCCTGTCCATCATCCCCATGATTATCAAACCACCTAAATACCTCCTTCGCCTCATGCGTCATATGTCTAACCGGCTCATCCACCGGTCTCCTCAACGCCCCAAACTTCTCCAACGGCACCGCAATCTTGTCATGATACTCTAGAATCACTTCAAAATCCCTACACTTATGATTGATATTAAAATCCGGCACTGCATTCTCCTGCATATCCACCCAATAATGTCCATACGTATCCACATTTCCCTGACACATCAGATTCTGCAGCAGCGCATATACACAATGCGAGGCGTGGAGTTGATGGTACTTCCCCATCTGTTCGTTAGGGTAATAGTACTCTACACTCCAGTAGAGATGCATGCGTAGCCGGTTGAGACAGTGGATTTGATGGAAGACGTCGATGCGTCCGATGAAGGCGTCGGGGCCGAAACCGAAGGATTCGGGAAATTTTGCATACAAATCTGGGTTTTTGCCTTGATTTATGAGGTCTTCTCGGGATATGGGAATGGGATCTTGAGTCTCAATACGAGCCCATGCTGCGTCGACTTCCGGGGATGGAGGTTGCCGATAGATGGATTCGTTTTCGCGTTCTAGGAAGGTGCCGTTGAGTCGCCAGGTTGAAAGGGGAATGTCGATTGCGTCTAGAATTGGAGCTATGATTTTTCTAATGAGATGAGTTTCAGTGTTGGAAGATTTTTAGATCTTAAATTTTTCGGAGACTTGCTTCAACGCCCAATTTCGCTCTTTTCCACTGGGAACTTGCTTCCAATTAAGCATAGCCGCTGTGAACAAGTACAAAGACAGACAAAAGAAAAGACCATTTAGCCAACCCAGACACCTCACAAACGAATGATGCTTATGGCAGGTATCATTCTCTCCCTTTTCAGTATGTTCGAATAACTCATCGCCGACAGAAAAGCGGTTAAGAAGTCGATCTTCATCTTGATATTCGTTGTCCGAGTTTACATGAGAGGGATCCAATTCTGCATATGTGAATGGCTTATTGTGCTTGAAGATTTGTAATATGCGTTGATTGAAACCCATTTTGAAGAGTGGAGGGGTTGGAAATGGGAGAAGAGAGAAGTATAATGCGGAGAGAAAAAGCAAATGATAGATTAGTTGTTTTCAAACGGAATGGGAGATGGTATATTGTAAGTTATACAGCTAATGGGTATGATATAGCATCATAAATCAGGACTCGTGTTGCTTGCACTTCGGACCACCAGCAAGTGTGTGGATTGACAAATCACCTCCCAATTTTCGATATTTTTAGCAAATTCATTTTTCAATTCTATATTATTGGAAGTCACATCTTGATTGTTCTATTTCGAATCAACAATTATAACAATTCTAGGAATAAATGATTTGATGTATTAAGAAATATTCATCAATCTATTTTTGCCGCATTTCATCAGTCCGTACACCCATTAGTGCTACCTCACAATCAACACTCAACCCCTAACATTCGATTATCTCAACACGTTACACATACCCGTCATAACTTCCTCTCCATATTCTCTCTAGATAAGAGAAAACCACCCTCCTCTCTTTCAGCCAAGAAGAGATAAGCAACATACTGCACAGTTATCTAGATCCAACTGATCCACGAATATGCAAGCCAACTCATGTCGACAGTAACATGCACGACATCTATGGTCTCATGATGGAAGTTTCGGCTAATTTTTCCCGCTCGCGTGGCAAACATTGTGTTTCTCGGTTGGTGGTACAGAATACATTTTGGACTTTAGTTGGATGAGAAGAAATGCTGTGGATGTGTATCTATTGGTAGATTAAAATTTCATTCCCTGTGTTAATGATTATCTTGAAAAGTGTGGGTAAAGCTTCCGAGAACACATTTACGCGGGTTTGACGACTTGAAATATTCTGGACCCGAACTTCACACTCGGAAACAACTTTGATAGATCAGCAGCAGAGAACAAACGCCAAATTATCTTTGCATCTTTATCTTAGCTAGCTGCTCGCTAGATGTGAAATCTACGTCATTCGTAACTCAGAGATAGATATCTGAGGGGCATCGCTGTTTGCATGGATCATATTTCATACAGGGAATAAACGGATGGGCCACAGATCAAAAGTATGTAAGAATACATGGCTATAGCAGTACTATTGACATCATAACCGATTTAGCCTATTCTCTGTCACAAAAACGAGAATCGTGTAAACACTATCTTTACTCCTGGAAGTACCAGAAACGCTTGTCGTGAAGTCTCTTGCCCAAAATACTTGAAGTCTGAAACCGCTATATATTAAGCATCAATTCTAGGTACATTGAATCTCCCAAAAGAAACCCAAGTCAGATCAGTGTGTATCTCTCCTATTCATGGTGATAAAGAGTACCTCTCCCCCCCTATTCTAACTAACCCTGCTTACTCCCCACGTAATCCTCGCTTGCACACCCACACGTTCTCCATCAATTTTCCCATCCTCCCATTTCACTCTTGCTTCTCGGTATGTAACTCATATCAAACCAACTCTATTCTCGTGAGTGTGTAAAGTCACTCACACATGCAGATAGATATCTAAAAATGACGTATAACCCGTTACTTGCACGGATTGCTTCAGCAAACACAAACAACGACTTGGTGATAAAGAAACAATAATTTGAGGCATTTTTTTGCTCTCTACTTCGCCACAATTTTCGTCGCAGCGGAGAGTTTTGAAAAGTCTCATGATTACCTGCTTTGACATCCTTGTAGCGTTTTCGACAAAACTCGAGTTGCCCGATATACTTTGAAACGATACTGGGATCTAATTCACAATTTGTACATCTTTCTTATTTCTCGAATCGGGGTTGAGTTTGTATTTGCTTGCCGAATACATGATCCGATAGACTACACGACTCGTTGTTGCAAATTACGTCGGTTGTGCATATAATTGTTTAAGAACGTATTACAACACTGTTCTTTTCGGGGATGATCTTATCTTGTATGAATGAACGAAAAGAATAGATCGGCGGCAAGATAACAGTTAGTTACAATACTTCGAAGCATGTTACTCTACAGAATAATCTTGTGCAGCACTTTCGGATCTCCCGGTCAGCTTTGCAGGTAGATCGAAAAGACTCAGGCAATTTCACTCATTTGAAAGTCAAAAGAATATCTATATAAACAGTCCACAACTAGAAATCTAATCTTAATCCTCTCAACCATCTAATCCATAAATCCTTCCAACCAAACTCAACAATCCCATTACAGAAGCCCCAACACCCCACAGAAACCTCTCCAAAATGGTTCGAATGACCGCAATCTTGGCTACAGCCATTCTCAGTCTCGCATATGCTGCTCCTCTGAGCCCTGTTCAAGGTCTACTATATCCTCCCTAAAAACAAAAAAATCATTACTGACTGACTTAAGTAGAAGAAGTTAAAGCCCGAGGTGTGTTGGATGCTACGTACGCGCAGCTGGATTGGTTCATGGCTAAACGTAATCCAGAGCTATCTTATGTGAATAGCCGCGCAGCGGAATTGAGTTATGTGGTATGTTTTGTGAAGTTGCTGTGGGGTATTTAGCTCACGGGAGTGTAGAATTCGAAGCGGGAACCGGAGTTGAGCTATGTCAATTCTAAGCGCGAGCCAGAGCTCAGCTATGTGGTTTGTTTCACAGATATGTTGTTTTAGTATCCAGCTCACACGAATATAGAATTCAAAGCGAGAACCAGAACTTAGCTATGTCAACTCTAAGCGTGAGCCTGAGCTTAGTTATGTGGTTAGTTTGGCACTCCCCATTCTCGAATAGACCCTATTGACAAGTTTTCAGAACTCCAAGCGCGAGCCTGAGCTTAGCTATGTCAATTCTAAGCGCGAGCCCGAGCTCAGCTACGTCGTATGTACCGCACATTCCTCCTCCTTCTCCAATAGTTCCTGTCCCATCTACTAACTTCCAATTTCCAGAACTCCAAGCGAGAACCCGAGCTTAGCTATGTCAACTCTAAACGAGAGCCTGAATTGAGCTACGTCAACTCCAAACGTTCCCCGGAACTCAGCTACGTAGTAAATTTATCAACCCCAATCACCAACTCATCCACTAACATTCTCTCCCCAGAACTCCAAGCGCGAGCCCGAGCTCAGCTACGTCAACTCCAAACGAGAGCCTGAACTGAGCTATGTCAATTCGAAGAGAGAGCCCGAGCTCAGCTACGTCGTACGTCCCGCACATCCCTCCTCCTCCTCCTCCTCCTCCTCCTCCTCCTCCTCCTCCTCCTCCTCCTCCTCCTCCTCCTTCTCCTCCCCCTTCTCCTTCACCATACCCCACTAATCCCCACTAATCCCCACTAATCCCCACTAATCCCACCCCCCAAATACTAACCTCCTCCCCCAGAACTCCAAGCACGAGCCCGAACTCAGCTACGTCAACAGCCGCCACACGCACAAGGAATAAAACTCCCACCCCCATTCCATCCCCAGATCTCTCTCCGTCTTCCCATCAGAGAGATCAGATCTATCTTTTAATTTCCGAGTATCATACGCAGAGAGGGGAGAGCATATTCATGTATTCACGCGTGTGTGAGAGCGAGAGAGACAGACAGAGACAGAGACAGAGACAGAAATTGACCATACCCATCCCAATATCCACATCCATCAAATCAAATCAAAGCACGCAATTAATTTCCTTCCGTGACCTAACTTCAACTCCCAAGCGCTCTGATGTACAAATAAAGACTGAACAAGCGACACGCACACGGCACAGAAAAGAATATACATGCCCAATCCGCATCTCCCTTCCACCTATTTCCTTCTCGCCCATAATATGATATGATTCCTATAATGATGTGTATATATTTATACTCCCTTCCTCCCTTCCTCCGCATTCATCGAGCCATATCCACACAGCAGAAATCCCTCGATTCGATTTCCCACTCCCACTGCCCCCCCTTTCTAATCATCTCCCTCCCCCCATCTCCCTCCCCCCATCTCCCTCTCAATATCTATCCCTCAAATAAAACCAAACCAACCCACCACCCATCAACCCAAAAAATAAATCCCCAAATTTCAAACACCTAACTAACTGCCAACTACCCGTGGCATCCATCTATTTCTGTATTGATGAATATACCTATATATCCTGATCTCTATCCCCGTCCCCGTCCCTCTCTCCCCCTGAATCCATCGTTTCTCGTTTCTCCATCCCTCCATCCCTCCAACTCTCCATCTCTCCAACTCTCCACCTCGTCTCTTCCCCTCATCTCTTCCCCTCATCTCTTCCCCTCATTTCTTTCCCTTATCTCATCTCATTTCGCTTCGCTTCGCCTCTTCACTATCCCATCCCATCCCATCCCATAAAGAGTACAGCAAAAGTAGATACCTAGGTATGAAATAATAAACAAACCATACAACCAAGTACCTCCAGGGCTAGCTATAATCACGAACAGAATGTACAATTGACCAACTTTGATCAATATCTTCTCTACATCTAGAAAAATCCAACTACCCTATCATTCAAATCACATATCACACTATTCAATCAATTCATCAGAGTATTCATCAAGCCACTTATTGCAATTCAAATGAATCTTCATTCTCATTTCTCATGCTTCCCTTCTCATCTCTTTTAAAAAACAAAAGTTGATGACTAATTACAATTGATTAAGTACCCTTTGGTGAGTTTCATGTGCTTTCTTCGTCAAAGGTTGAAGAAATTACACAAGCCCACTCTTCCATTCCTATCTTCATTACTACTTTCATGAATAACGCCTATCCTTCCCCTATAATTTAATGGACAGAAATATTTGAACGCCCAGTCTAATGCATTAAAATGATCATAACCTTACTGCCGCAACTTTGCCCCTAGTATGCGGAGATTGGCGTTCCGATAATAAAAAAATGGTGAGAAGGTAGTTTGAAGATTGATGAAAATTTTCGAAATTTCGAACAGAGATATCAAGATGATTAAGGTCTCTTTGTAAAGGTCAATGGACAATCATCCTGTAATTTGTGTTAGTAATGATCAAGAGCCATTCAATGTGAATGTGTACTAACCATAGGGAAAATTGTAGCAAAGACCTTGATCTCTTCTGATTTTGGAGTCGGATGATGAACCCAGTCAAGTTCCATCGATGCCTTTCCAATCATAAGAGCAAGGTTCATTTGTGCATATTCTTGTCCCAGACAATAATGAGCACCAGTTCCAAAGACCAAATAGTTCTTAGCACCCTTTACTTCTGCGTCACCAGAGAAATAACGTTCAGGGTCGAATTCGTCAGGTCGGTCATAGACATCAGGATCGCGTAAAGCTGGGTATGTTGTTGGCACAATCATGGCTCCTATTTCAGTGGTTAGAATTGGATTTTCGTTTTTTATCAGCTTGACATACCTTTGGGAACAGTATAATCTGGAGTGATTGGGAATGCTTTCTTGGCAACATATGGAACCATGAGAACAGGAGGGCGCCATCTCAATAACTCTCTAACCACGGCACGAGTATATTTCATGCTTTCCATCATGTCCATGTTTGGTCTAACTCTTTTATCACCACCACGAGCGCGTAAGTTCTCCTCACGGACCTTATCTAAAACCTCAGGACGTTGGGCCATAACTTGGAATAACCAGGTGGCGGCACTGCTCGTAGCATCTTGGGAAGCGAACAAGAAGGTAAAGACGGTTTGAGCAATTTCGTAGTCGGTGAATTCACGGAGTAATGGTGTTGGCTTCGTCATTCCTTTGGTTGAGAGACCCTTTTCTTCTGCCTCGCGCCAAGCCGCGGACTCGAGTTGAGACTTGACCCATCCATCCATAATACAAGAAACTTCACCACCGGCAGCCATGCGAACCTTGCTCTTTGCGGCACATTTGGAGAATTCCTCAAGAACCATATCAGCAGCAATCTTTCCATACCAGGACTTGGTGAATGGAAGAATGATTGGGAAGTTGACCAATTCCAAGGCGGCAGTGATGTTGTAGTAATCGTCGGCAATCTTCTTGATAGCTTCGTCTGAGATGTAGAAACCAACGAATGTACGACAGGAAACGGCGCACAACAATTCTCTGAATTCGGACATGAATGGAACGGGTTTTCCTCCAGCTTCCTCGGTAACCTTGGCGAATCTTTCGTTGTATTGATTGTAGACGTCGTCTTGCCCTGGGAGATAACAATCGAGAGCTTTGCGAGTGAATAATCCATTGAGACCCTTTCGGAAATCAACGTGAGCCTTTCCGTCAAGGAAAACCCAGTTGGTCTCGCCCAACAATTTATGTGCTGAATCGACTACACATGGTTTGACGTATGCTGGGGAGTTGAAAACTTTTCTGGCCATATCCCGAGTAGAAGCAATAACAACGAATCTGATAGAGATTAGTGCCTGATTTTGGAGTGGCAGATAATAGTCTTGACCTACTTGTGGAAAACAGATACGCAACTGAGGTCACCGCTTGCCCATTTTGCTTGATATTCGTGGAATTTTGGATTGACAGATTGTAAAAATGGACCGATAAAGGGGGCTTTCCATGCTGGACCGATGATTGAACCTTTTTGCCAGAGATAACTACCTTGAAAGTTGTTAGTGGGTGGTGCAATTGGTTGGTTGACGCGTCGAGAAGTTTCTTACATTGATCATAAGCTACCATGAGGCAAAGAATTGTAAGCACAATCTGCCATGCGCTGACTTCTGCCAGTTTGGCTAGATAACCATTGAGTTGAGGATGCCCAATAATCTGAGCAAATTTTGCATCTGCCACAGGTGAGGCATAAGTGATATTTTGTACCACGTCCGCCATGATTTGTTCGTTGTGGTATCTGTACCAAACGAGGTGGTGAAAATGGTCGCAAGTAACAATTACACTCAAAGAAGGTTGATATGAAGAACAATCTTATAAGAAGAACAATCTGACGGTGGACTAGCAAGTCTCTGGTCAGAAGATATCTGGAAGATATCTGGTACTTGAACGATAGGACAAGTTGTTGAATAAAAAGGATTAAGAAGAATTGAAGGCAGGGGAAGGAAGAGAAGGGAAGAATTTTGGGTGGGAGGATGGGATGGGAAAGACGGGAATTATTATTGAATTATGAAGCACCCTCGCACCAGAACTTTTACCTCAGGTTGTTACTCTACTAGGTAATAGTTAATTACCGTAAGGAACAATTGGGAAGTTACGGAATTTGATTAAGTAATCCACTCCAGCTACCATGGTGACCTGAATGACGACCGGACCCAATCATCTTGGATCCAATTTGATGAGTTTGGTTAGATTGGCACATTGGGACACAATCGGGTGAATAGACCGATCTGAAAAATTCATCTAACGTATTTGCTATTGGATTGTACCAGGATTAGATTTCACTAAAGACCCTCGAGAGGAGAGACCTTTGCAACAAGGGTGAATCCGCCCGGCAAGAAAGGATAGAAAGGAAAGAAAATTCGAACATGAACATGAACATCAGTGGAGTGGAATTCGAAGAGCTAATCATACTAGGGAGGAACTAGAAGGGAAAAAAGGCCATCTATGATCTATTGACTAGTGGCGCGAGATGTTGGTGGATTCATCTGGCCCATTAATCATAATAATGATACTAGAAAAGACCTAGGTATTATTGAGTGAATTTAGGAAGGATGTGTAGGAAATGAGATACTCACAGTGGTCAGTAATGACCTTGGAAGTAGCAGACAATTAGAATCTACTCAAAAAGGAGGAGTGTAGCGAATGCGCGTATTGTACCGGTACCTAGGTAGTTGGTTACACATTCACTTTTTCTATACCGGTACTCGGTAATCTTTTATATGCATTAGATAAAGGAGGGCAAAAAAGAGAAGTTAAAGAAAGGTATCTCATCCTATCACAAAGACGTCATGATTCTTTCAATTCATTTATTCAGGTGTCTAGGTTCTCTAGGGAGGTACCTAAATAGATAACGGAAGCAAACAATAGGGCTAGATGTTACCTAGTTCAAGGGTTGTGGGTTGATGTTCATAGGTCAAGCATTTGAATGAAGAAAGTAAAAAGTTTGTATAAAGAAAAGCATAAGCAAGCAAGCAAGCAGGTACGAAATGATTGTGGTTGGTTCTCGTAGTATGTGCCGGATGCTTTCTGTTGGTGCCATTGTGGTGGTGACCCTTTGCTGACCTGATTTATTGTTTCTGAGCCCAATATCGACATCATCATATCATCCGTCCCACCACCACGAGAAATTAAAGATGTACATGCTACTTCGCAGGTACCTTGTAGATACGGGAGAATCCTTGTCAAATAATATAATCCGTCACTCACTCATACTTGTATTACCAACCACTTTCCACAGCCAAGGTTCCGAAGCTTCCATACTAAGTTGGAGGGAGGAAGAGGATTTGCAGTAAATTTCATTCTGGAACGACATACTTGTATATTGTTAGATATGATATATTGTTCTAACCATCCTACAGACTTTGATGGCCAACGCCTAGATGAAGC